AATCCATCAAATCTCTAACATTATATTCAGATAAAAACTATTGTGTAATCATCTCATTCACAACTACAAGAAGTGAATTAGTTGTATTCAATCACAAGATTAAAATATTTAAGACAAGATAAAAAAATATTTGTAATTGAATTAAAACTTTAAAACCGATTCTTATTGAAAATTCAATTAAAAATCCTATAGATTACATAATCATGCATGATAAAAATTGTTCTCCAGTAAATAAATACAATCAAACCAGTGTGTTAAGTTAAGGCTACATCACAACCCTAGCAAAGCGTTTAGTCAAGCATGACTGGAGTGGAATTTTTCGTGGTTGAGGAAGACATCTTCACCGCCATGGATCGATCTCTTCTTTCTTCTGAATGCTCCTCTCTGATCTCAGTCTCAAGCTCCTCTGTATGATGATTTAATGTTGTAGAGGACCCCCTTTTATTAATAAAACATCAGCCCTAAAGTTCCCTTTTCATATAGGAGACATACATAGAAGTTCTGTCAAATAAGGACTCCAAAATTCGTACAAACTTTCAGGCTAATTTTGACAAGGTAAACATCTGTTTTAGGAAATCCTCGTGAAATACAAAATTGTAGCTCTTCGAATTTCCTTTCAACCTATTTAAACATTTAGATGTTTTGACACTCGAGGAGAGAGATACAGCCAGATTATTAAAACGGTTTCAAGTTACTAACTTTGGCGAAAGTTTCTTTTTTGGAGAAGGATTTTTTATTTTCTTCTTCTTTCCATTCTCATCAACTTGTGGCTTTTTTAGGACTATTTTCTAAGTATAATTAGACTTGGATCTTCAACATTGCTGAGTCCCACGGAATGTCATTTGTTAAAGCTCAGAATCATTGGTTTTGACTGATTTTATAATTAAAACCCTGAAATAAATAAAAACAATAAAATAATATAAAATCACAAATAAATTATTATTCAGAGAATAAAACATGCAAGTAAAGGGGTTAAAATGTATAACTTTCAGTGCCTAACATGTATATCACTTTATATTGAATTAGTAAGGGTAGTTTTGATATATAAAATCATTTACTTTTCATTCTCCTTCTATCTAAACTAATGAAACAATATTTTCTAACAATTTTCTTTAAAAAAATTCATGCTAATCAAATGCATAATAGAAACTAGATTTTCTTTTTCTTCATTTCACTTTCTTTTCCTTTCACTTTCCACCATCACATTCCGACTAACCAAACGGACCCTTAAATAAAGAGGTTAAATAACGTTATTGTCCATTTTAAGAAAAATATGTTGGTGAATATATAAAAAAAAATGATATACTAATTAGTATATTTGATATGAAAGATTTAACATCTAATAACATAGTATATTCTTAATAGAGTGAGATTGAGATAATACTACTTATGATAATAAAAGCCTAACTAACTTTTGTAAATGTAAATCTCAAATATAAATACTAGTCAAAGTATTTCACTAGTTGAGTGTTGTGAGATTTATATGTACCACTCGCAAGTGCACGAATCTTTGCAGATAGGGTTTACTTGTAAGGGTGTCGTACCCAAGGGACTTGTGTAAAATAAGTGTGTCAATAGATTTATTAAATTCCAAATTAACTTGAAAATAGGATAATCGAATTGTGATGATTTATTCTAAATGAACTAAATAGAAAAATAAAATAAACTGAAAAACAATGATTAAATAGGATGTAGAAAATAGAGAGAGGACTAGGGGTATGATTTCACCACTAACGTCGCACCACTAGTCAATTGGATCAATTTATTAGAGATTTATCATATACCATGCACATAGAATTAATCATGGTTACAAGCACATATTAATTCAGCTAGAAAATAATATAACTTAAAGTTAAGCATGGACTATCTTCGATTGGTATAAACCATCTAATCTATCTACTTTACTCTAGGGTATAGAATGGTCTATCTTTTCTAGGCATAATCCATCAAATCTCTAACATTATATTCAGAGAAATACCATTGTGTAATCATCTCATTCACAACTACAAGAATCGAATGAGTTGTATTCAATCACAAGATTAAAATATCTAAGACAAAATAGAAAAATATTTGTAATTGAATTAAAATTCTAAAATCGATTCTTATTGAAAAGTCAATTAAAAATCCTATAGATTATACAATCATGCATGATAAAAATTATTCTCTAATAATTAAATACAATCAAACCAGTGTGCTAAGCTAGGGTTACATCACAACCCTAGCAAAACATTTAGCCAAGCATGACTGGAGTGGAATTCTTCATGGTTGAGGAAGACATCTTCACCGCCATGGATCAATCTCTTCTTTTTTCTGAATGCTCCTCTCTGATCTCAACCTCAAGCTCCTCTGTATGATGATTCAATGTTGTAGAGGACCCCTTTTAAATAATAAAAGATCAGCCTTAAAGTTCCATTTTTCATATAAAAGACATACATAGAGTTTGTATTTGTTAAGTTTTTTTCTTTACTATTTGTTAAGTAATGTAACTCATAATCTCAAGAGACTTTTTCAAGTGGGGACCTTAGACTTGTTGGGTTTTGCGGAATAGTATCGTGTTCCAGAGAAGATTGAGGTTCAAGTTATTTACACTACTAGTCTAATTGAGTAAAAGCTTATGGTTAAGGAATTGCCCAAGTGGACGGATCCAATTGGAGTGAAAAGGGACGATTAAAGGTCTGCATATTTGGACCCGTTCAAGGATTATGGACTGGTCCATCATGCATGATACATGTGTTCGAAACAGTTTGTGGAATTCTTTGATAATCATTTTGTCATATAACTCATTAACTATGTTATTGGTAAATAACTCTCCCCTAAACAGTAGGTGAAAAAAAGAAAATTTTCCACTTTACCCCTTACCATTAATTTTTTGTTAGGATTAGAGTTAAGGTTAGTTTGGTTAGTGTGAACTAACGAGAAAGGAAAAGAAATCGAATTTTTTTAAACAAAAATTAGTGGTTTGGTTAGCATGAAAAGAAAAGTTTTGAGAAAAGTAATATTCTCACAACTCATTAATTTCATAAATTGAATTCAAACAGTTCAATAAAATTGGAAAATCCAACCAAAGACCAACATTTAGATTCAAAAAGATTGAAATGACACATTTAATTATAGGTAAGAAACAGATATTATATTACTTGCTAGACTTGTGAACCCAGAGATACACCCATGACATAGAGTCCCGATGACTAATGCAAATTGCAAATAAACCTTATCATAAATGGACATTTGGTGACCTTTAGACATAGTTATGGTGGTCCACACATCCACGAACAAATAGGTGGTGTTTTACTAAAGTTTTTTTTTTCCATATTCATGGATTATTTTTCTACTTTTGTCCTCACAAAAATTTATATTATTACAATGACCCACAATATAACTAAAACAATACAAAAGCTTTAAAAAATAAAATAAATTTAATATAAACCCACCACGCTCCTACAGAATAGCTTAAATATACTGACCTTTAAGAAGAGTTGGTATTTAATCAAAGTGACATCCATTGAATAAAAGAAATAAAGGATTTGACCAATAAATTAGTCTTGACTATCATGAGATTGTAATTTTTGGTCGTTTATGAAAATTACTCATAATTTTTCATCAATTATTTAGATTAACAGTTTTTATTTTTTCATATTCGCCATCGTCATAACCCTCACTTTGATTAAACACCCATTTTCTTCTTTTTCTGAGTTTTTTAGCCAAGGTTACAAAATGACACATTTAGTTACAATAGAAGAGAACTAAAGCAAAGAATGGGCCTCGTAGACCATTTCAAGTTGCTGTAGTTGACTGATAGCGCCCGTTGACTAAGCTTGGGCCACTGAATTTCCAGGAGTATATGTGAGCCAAACATCTCCATGCTTATCCTCCACGATGGCCATCAACATCCTACGTGCATCTTTATTTTTTTTTACAAAATTAGGTATCCTTAAACTTTACTTGATACACCACATAAAATCATTAGGACAAATAATCATTAACCGCAACAAAACCAAGACGTACTACAAATTTTCTATTCTATTATTTTTATTATTATTATAATTATTATAATTATTACATTTCAAATGCATTGTGATGACTCGTGTGATTAATATTGAATCTCAACTTCTTTTTTTGTCGTTTGATATTTCTAAACGTCTAAATTCTATTTTATTTTTGGTATTAAAATTTTGTTTTTTTTTTTGGTGTCACTAAAAATATGACAAAGCATAAGTGCAACTCAAACATACCAGCTTAACAATCCGTAAGTAGAATAACTAGAGTTGTAAACATATCTGAATGTTAGTCTGCAGCGTGACTGTTTTGCTTTGCAAAATGGCCAACGCATGCTATTTTCATTAGAAGACGCGGATATGCTGCTAAAAGACTCGCACTGACCTATGCTATGTTGCTACCTTATCCCTGTTAAATCTGGTTTGAAGAAGCAGATTTGAGAAACAATTTTCTTTCTCTCCAAATGTTATAAGATGGAAGTCAAGTGTACGTAATAACAATTTTCTTCTTTTAATTGTTGAAAGTATTTTAAAATTATGAAACTATTATTTAACCCACTATCACATTTCTCCAAATCTTCTCATTTTTTGGGAGAATAGGAATTGAGGGATTTGGAGGGATAAGCTATCCCTCCAAATCTATTCAAATCCTTTCTTTTCTCTCCCCAAGGACAACACAAACACAAAAGTATCTAATCCTTCTTATTCTTCCAAATCTATAAATCCGAAACTTAGGTGGCCTAAGTTCTAATTACAAAGATGGCTTCATGATGTTAGCCTTCAGCGTGTAGATTTGGCCACAAAACCAACCAAAGTATAATATATAAAATTAAAATTTTGTTACATACAAACATATTGCAATTTAAAAAAATAATAAAAAAATAAAATAAAATAGTAGGAAATATAAGGGTACTTATTCAAACAAGACTGGTGTAAAATATGAAGAAAAAAGACAAACAAACATTTCTAACAATCATCATTACCTAAATAAAAAAGGTTGGACATCTAGAGTGACGATGTTACACTACTATCGAAATGCGATCCTGTCGAAGTTGAAGCGACATCCCAAGGCACTATGAGTTCAATTACTGTATATTCATCATTTTCATAATTTTGTTGAATAATAGATATCCCTTGTGGCATTCTAATCCCTTCCCATTTAATTGCAACTTCTTTCATTGTAGGCATTTTTCTCCCACTTAAGTTCAAGCATCTTCTTGCAAGATTAGCGACCCTGATGATCTCTTCTTTCCCACCCTCTTTGGAAACTCGAGCATCAAGAATGTCAAATAAACGGTTCTCCTTCATCGCCAATATGAAATATGTTGACAAACTTCGCCGTTCTTCTGATCTGGCTGATGAGATTGGTTTTTGTCCAGTTAAAAGCTCAGCAAGAACTACTCCAAAGCTATAGACATCACCTTTTTTTTTTTTTTTTTTTTTTTTTCTGTAAACTAGCTTGATTGGAAGTACTCTGGGTCCAAGTATCCAAAGGTCCCCTGTACTCGTGTGGTCATATGAGTTTGATCAATGGCAACTATTTTTGAAGTTCCAAAATCTGACACTTTTGCTTTGAATTTCTCGTCCAGCAAAATGTTTGTGGATTTGATGTCTCGATGATAAATGTGTATAGAAGCTACTGAATGCAGATAGGCAAGAGCTCCTAAAACTTCTGTAACAATTGATCGACGGTCGAAATCAATTATAAATCAACCCTCTTCGCAATAGCACGAATCATTGTAAAATAGGGCTATTGGACGGGTAAGTCGAACCACTGGGACTGTGCTAGTTTTAAGGCAACCTAAGTATCTAAAGTCATTTTAGAGTGATGAGGGGTTTATAAAGGGTTTGTGTGTTTGTCACTAAACTAAGAAATTAAAATGCATAAAACAATAGATTGCAATGAAATTGAAGAAGTGAGATACAAGTAGAAAAGACTAGGGAGATGAATCCACACTACACCCTAAGTACATGCTAGATTAGGTCTAAATTTGGGGAGGTACAATGTATAAAATGGTCATGGAATATATAGCAACACTATGTTACCATACACTCTTGGAAAAGTTCATTAAATCATTAAACAAGAATAATCCCTCAAAAATTCATACATTTGAGCTACCTAAACTAAAGTGTAGCCCTCAACATATTCACTCAAACAAGAACTATCAAGTTTATAACCAAATGATAAAGCACATGAGGTAGGAAACTAGCATAACCCATCAAAGGAAATTCCTAAGCAATGGACTATCCATTTTTCTAACAACATGCCTTGAAAACAAATCATAGTTTGATTCCCATTGTCACTATGAGAATGCAAGCAATAAGACTAATGTAAGAATCATCAAGACAAGCTAAATAACTCACATCAATCATTTAAACATGAATATTCATTACAAGAAGTAATAAGCTCTTAAACTATGAAAAGACCAAAGTTTATACATTATAATCCCCAAAATAGAACCTAATCTAGAACATGAACAAAAGGGGAGGCTTCATCACCTCCCTAGATGGAGGTTTAGCTCTCCATTGATACAAAAATAGAAGAAGAAGAATAATAATCCATCTCCATTTTTGAGCTCCTACTGTAGCACTCAAGAACACCTTCTTCCTTACCCTCTTCTCTCTCCTCTAATCTTGTAAGAATGAATGATAGCATATGTGTGGCCTTTGGTTGCCTAATATCCTTCAACAAAGTCCTCTCCCTCCTCCAAAAACATTGCCAACCACTTCATAAAAGAGGGAGATTCAAATTGAGGAAACCAATGAAGCAAGTGGCTGAAAATGAGGAGTCCTGAGCTGCATTCTACCTGAATCTCGAGTGCTTGAAATAGGGCCTCCAGCACTCAAAAATGGAGCAGATTGCTCTATGCTTGCTTTGTTTTGCCCGGACCTACTTTGGTAAAACGGCTATAACTTTCTTCTCCAAACTCCGAATGACAAAGCGTTTAAAGATTTGGAAACCTAATTCAGAGATATAAAAACTTTATGTTTTGGTGGAGATCCAATTCTCAAGTCTGGTTGGTCGAAATTGAAGAACAAGGCAGACTTTCATTGCTGCCAGGCAGTTCTGAGCACCTCTAATAAGAAGATCATAAATCTCTACTCCGAACTCCGAATGATGAACCGCTTGAAGATTTGGAAAGCTGATTCAGAGCTCTAAATATGTCATGTTATAAGGGAGGTCTAGTTCTTGAGTTTGCTAGGTCAAAAATGGCGACAAAGGTCAGGTTCCACTGCTGCCAGAAATTCAGCATTGTGACCTTTGATGTTCAAAACTCCACAAAGCATCCTTCTTGCTTCTTTTTGGCCAATGAACCTGAAAATATGCAAAAACGTGCATATGAAGGTAATCTATATAATTAAACAAACAATGGACTTAAATAATACAATTAAAGGCGCTTGAATATGCAATATTCGGCACTTATCACACCCCCAAACTTACATTTTGCTAGTCCCTTAGCAAAACCAAAATGAATACTTCAATGAAAATATAACCATGGGCATGCTACCACAAAAATATCATCCATGGTGAAATGAAGTGCAAACATAGCTCAAATATAATTTGAAACAACAAAGAACTGGAGATGGGGTCATTGGGAAGACTACCTTGCATATATGAAGCATTGATACTAAACACATTTCAACATGTATGTATCAACATCATAGACTATATAAATAACTCAATTATCATCTCTTGAATGGAAATCAACTCTAACTTCAGTGAAAGTGAATTGGATTCTCAACATGCGGCTTTTACTTTTTTTTTCCAATTCCAAAGCACAAGTTTTCAAATCATTGAATTCCCCTTTAAATGAGGTCCCTAAGGCATGGTTTTATTTACAAGACAACTTTTGTTGCTTGTTGACAATTTATTGTAACTCATAAGCGAAACATAGAATGGTTGTGCAATGCTGAAGTCCCTTAAGCTTTCTAACCAACCCATGTAGCGAGCATTAGGCCAACAACTCCCAAACCAGACGGCTTTAGGGTGTTAAGTGTAAAGACACTCTTAGGGCTTAATAGCTCAAGTTGGAAAGGCTACGAATTCCAACAAACCATGTTTATTACACACATTTTTTTTGAATGACCGTGCAATGTTTAAGTCCTTTAAGCTTTCTAACCAACCCATGTAGCAAGCGTTAGGCCAATAACTCCCAAACCAGATGGCTTTAGGGTGTTAAGTGTAGAGACACTCCAAAGGGCTTAATAGCTCGAGTTGGAAAGGCTACGAACGTCAACTGGTCATTATTTTCTTTCTTTCTCAGTTTTTTTTTTTTTTTTTTTTTTTAGACAACTTAAATCATGCCAAAGATATTCATTTATCAGGTTCATCAAACCAGATTAACTAGGCCAAGGTCAAGGTCAATCAAGTTGCATGCCTCACAGTTAAGTTTCCAATGTGCATCTGTGCATTGTGAGGCTTAAAAGAGTGTCAAATCCAGCGAGAATTTAATTGAGACATTTATACAGACTAATTTGAATCTACATGATCATCTCAACTCAAATTTTCTTTATTTTCAAAAATATCAGCTACTTCTATACACAAAGTTTTAAATATATGCTTTCATCTCTAACAGGTTTCAAATTCCATTATCATTGCTTAGCAAAAATTATAAACCCAAAAATATGCCAAAAATGCAATATTGTACCCCCAAACTTGAAATACACAGTGTCCTCAATGTGGGATATGGAGTAAAATTGATGACAAAAATGACAGAGAATAAAAAGGAACAAAAATACCCAGGGGGAGGAAACGGCATGGTGAAACAAAACCCCTAAACTTGAAATGAACTGCGCCACCTGGATAGTATGACGAAGAACAAAAAGAAACAACCACAAAGGGCATTAATAGCACAAGCACATATACAGAAAAAAATAATGAACAAAAAGTTAACAGAAAAGAGAGAATTTGCATTCAAAAGGAAGTTTACATGATTACAAAAGAGCTGTACATAGATCATGTCTACTAGAGCAACCTATACATAGCAAATTCTGAAAGTTCAAAAGTAAAACAAAAGATACAAGAGAAATATTTACATATGAACAAAAAGATAAGGTCCAACACTCACAACAAGCTACGGGCCAGAGGGTAAACGGGCGAGGATAGAATGGAGGAGAGATTGAGTCTTACGCCGTTCGGTGGAAGCCAAACGACGTTCCTCAGCTGCGACACGACGGTCTTCAGCAGCAAGACGACGATCTTCTTCGGCACGTGAAGAAGTCTCACACATAGTCCGCGTGTACGCGAACAAAGAATTCTCAAAATGATCCATCCGCTCATGAATGCCAGCAATGCTAGCCCGGATGAAAGCCTGGTCCTGCTGAGAGTCGACCAGAGGCTCTAACCTTGCAGCGGTTGCGGCCGTGGAAGCATCCTCAGAAGGAGGAGGAGGTGGAGCTTGGATGAACAGGGGGGCAGCAGGCTGAGGGGTACTAGAATGGCTAAGAACATTGATCCTCCGGCGCTTGGTAAAATTTTTAATCTTTTCGCCTTTTGGTTCATGGGGAGGAACAATGAAACCCTTGTGCGTTAGGAACCAAGTGATGAAAAACGGCAAAGGCAATTTTCGATTTTCAACTCGCGGAACCCGTGCATTATGAGTGTCATGCCAAAACTTCATAAATGTTGTCCAAATGAGCTCCGGGATGGAGAACCATTGGCCTTGGTCCATGGCATATAAGGCTTGCAAAAGGAGGTCCCTACGCTCGGTGCTATGCACCAAAGGGCAGACATTGTGCTTGAAAACAGTGTCAATAAACCAGAGGCGTTCTGGAAGATTGGTTTTTTGGATAAAAGACCGGGGCCTATGAGGGTCATCCACGTTACAAATGGCAGCGACAACCTGCTCCACAGTTAATGTATCCGGCTCCTCATATAAAGGGAGATTCTCACGATTGACAATGTCATCGGGGCACTCAATGGGGCAACCAGAAACTTGAATGATGTCAGTCATAGTGAAAGCATAGGTAGTGCCATTAATGGATGTAGTGAGAGAAATGGGTGGCTCTTCAGGGCATTGGAGATTCTGGTAGAAGAGGCGCACTACACGGGGGTAGGCAACCCTGGCAAGGGGCGCGTAAATGTGCTGCAGACGCCGGTTAGTCAATTCGGCTACAGCCCATGAAGTAGTGGGTAGAATGTCAAAGGCATCCGTGAGCGGAAAAGAAAGCTCGTAGTTGAGTTGTTTGTGATCCCAAGGATCACGTGGTCGCTCACGATTGACAGCACGGGCACTCGCAGAGGGTCTAGGAGGGCGAGAAGGACCGGCACGAGACATTTAGAGAGGTGGACTTGGTTGAGGACTTTCAGCGAGCACCTGGCGTGCACCACAAAAGAGAGAATGTGAAGATGAGTGGGAGGGATGAAGAAAACCAAAAATTTTGACAACCAAACCAAGCTCTAGCATAGAGCAATCATTAACCACATATAACATAACCTCCACAATGCATTCCCATCCTCCTTATAAAGGAAATAAAGACAGGGAATTGAGAAGAATATGAAGCTCACATACCTTGAGAAGAAGAAGAAGAATGGAGGCACATGGATTGAATGCATGCATGCATTAGAATGAAGACTGGGAAGGTGGGGTGGAAGTGAGAGAAGGTGGTATGTGGTGAGAGATGGTTGATTGAGATGGTTGGGAGTGGTGGGGTTGGGTGATGAAGGTTGGGGTGGTGTGTGGTGGTGTGTGGCCCAAGGTGAGGGGTTAGAGAGAGAGATTAAGGAGAGAGAAAAGGTGGTGCGTGGTGTTGGTGGAGGTGTTGATTCGGTGGAAGAAGAAGGATGAGGTTGGGTGGTGGTGAGTAGTGTTGGGTTGATGAGGTAGGAGGTTGGTTGTTGGGTGCCGAGGGGGAGTGGAGTGCGGGTTCGGGGTTTAAAAGAGAGGAGAGAGCTTGGGATAGGTTGAGAGGGGGTTCGAGCACTCGAAATGGCTTCTTCGAGTGCTCGAGAAATGGGCAGAGATGGTTTGGATTGGCGTGGGAATGCAGAAGAGGGAAAGAGGGTGGTGCTCGGTTGTTGTGAGGGATGAAGTGCTCGAGGTTGGAGTGCATGGTGATTTGCCGAGAGGTTGGCTGCATGGTGGTGAACCGAGAGGGGCATGCATGCATGGGGCTTGCATGCATGCATGCAGGTCGTGGAGAATGGTTGCATGGAGTGGGTTTGATGGTTAGGGTGGTTTGCAGGATGGTTTGTGGTGTTGTAGAGAGATAGAGAGAGATTGGTTAGGTTGATATGGTTGGTTGGTTATTGGGTTGATGATCGAAGTGGAGGTGTTGGATTTGTTGTGAGGGAAGCCGAGAGTTGGGAGTGTGCATGGTTGGTGGGTTTGGAGCATGCTGCTTGGGATGGTGGGCTGAAAATTTAGAGCACTCCAAATGGAATTTAGAGTGCTCTAAAATTGGGCAGTGAGTGCATGCAAGATTGGTTCACATTTAGAGCACTCCAAATGGGAGCTAGAGTAGGCTCGTGATTTTGGTGTTGAACCTTGATTGCAGCTGCAAGGAATTTCGAGCACTCCACATGGAAATTGGATTGCTCTAAATTGAGGCAGTGAGCTAGGATTGATGCTTTGAAAGCTGCGAGCACTCAAATGGGAAATGGGATTGCTCAAAATGAAGATAATGAGCACAGCAATGAAGTTGCTCATCATGGAAATTGAATGTTACAATATGAAGGCAATGAGTTTGCATGGATGATTGCAACAAAGAAATGTAACATGGGATGCATGGACTCAAATTGGATGAAAGACTTGGACTACATGGATGAGGATGCATGAATGCAATGCATGCATGCATTCATGCAAACTGTGAACCTGAAGATTTATCATTTTTATGCATGCATGATAATGGGATACAAATTTTTCAACCAACTTGAATGCATGGATGAATGAATGCATGGCTGCAATGGAATTCCTATGAATGAATGAAAATTGCTTCTCTTTTTTTTTTATTTTTTATTTTTGAGACAATGTTTCAAGTTTATGAAAATTTATTATTATTATTATTGTTAATAATAATAATGCAAAATTTTTGCATAAAAATATATGTTTTTAACTTGAAACATTGCAACAAAATTTAAACTTTGCAACATCATGTCATTCGAATGCAAGGCTGAAAAATTCAACTATATACCTCATTGCAATGCATGGAAAAATTAGAAAATTTTTCAAACTGTGCAATTTTCCGCCAATGAATATATGAATGAAATTTGGGAAAATTTTGAGACCTTGCAACTACTCTCTACTGCATGAATGAATTTAAGAAACTTTTCAACTTTTTGCAACATCAATGTAATGTATGGATGATTTTTAGGAATCATGATCCAATAATGCAGGAAGAGAAGAGGCTATGCATGTGAGGGCCAAGTCGAAAGTCCGAGAAAATTGCCCGATAGAGCCGGAAACTTTCGGGAATGAAAACAAGAGTTGAGAAGGTCTAAGAAGCCGATCTAAAATTGGGGAACACAACTAAAGAGCATTCCAGAAAAATCAAATTTTTGGCTTTTTGAAACCATTTCCCAGAAAATGTCAAGGCTCAGGCAATGGAAAGAGGGGGGGAAAGCTTGGAAATTGGAAGAATTGCTTCCCTTGCTTTGCTAAATTTAATGTCGATAGCTAGACAAAGTTAGAGTTGGCACTAATCCTCATAAATTGGGTCCGTCAAGAGGACTTCCTCAATTTTTCGGGTTGGGATTGTGCCATCAATGCAAGGCTTAAGCCGTTGGCCATTAACTTTGAAGAGTGATCCTTTTGCAGGATCATGAAGTTCGATTGCTCTATGAGGAAAGACAGTAGTGACAATGTATGGACCATCCCATCTTGACCGGAGTTTACCGGGAAAAAGTTTCAAGCGGGAATTGAAAAGCCAAACCTTTTGTCCGGGGGAAAAAGACTTCTTGACAATGTGTTTGTCATGAAAAGCTTTAGTCTTTGCCTTGTAGATTTTTGCGCTTTCATACGCGTCATTACGCAATTCCTCAAGTTCATTTAATTGCAACGCACGATTAGAGCGGGCTTGTTTGAGATCAAAATTGAACCTTTTTATGGCCCAATAAGCACGGTGCTCTAATTCTACCGGGAAATGACATGCTTTGCCAAAGACAAGTCGATATGGTGACATGCCAATGGGTGTCTTATAAGCTGTCCGGTAAGCCTAAAGCGTCGTTTATCCTTAATGACCAATCTTTGCGGTCCGGTCTAACCGTTTTTCCAAAATGTGCTTAATCTCCCGGTTAGAAATCTCTACCTGACCACTCGTTTGAGGGTGGTAAGGTGTAGCAACCTTATGAATGACGGAATACTTGGTAAGGACAGATTTGAGATAACGATTTCGGAAATGAGATCCGCCATCACTAATGATTGCTCGGGGCGTACCAAAACGACTAAAGATATGGAACTGAATGAATTGGATCACGACTTTATGATCATCGATTTTGGTAGCCTCGGCTTCAACCCATTTAGACACATAATCCCCCGCTACAAGGATGTACTCATAGCCATAAGAAGATGGAAATGGTCCCATGAAGTCAATCCCCCACACATCAAAAATTTCAACAATTAAAATGTTGGTGAGGGGCATCATGTCTCTTCGGGACATGGATCCAAGTTTTTGACATCGTTCACACGATTTGCAAAAATTATATGCATCCCGAAACAAGGTAGGCCAAAAGAATCCGCTTTGAAGAACTTTGTTAGCGGTCTTTTTGGCACTGAAATGGCCTCCACAAGCAAGAGTATGGCAAAAATTTAGAATGCTTGTGGCCTCGGTTTCAGGAATGCATCGCCGGATGATTTGGTCCGGGCAATACTTGAATAGTTCCAGATCTTCCCAAAAGAAATGCTTGACTTGGGAGAAAAATCGGTCCTTCTCTTGTTTGGACCAATGAGTTGGAATTTTGCCAATTGCAAGATAGTTGACAATATCCGCAAACTATGGAAGATTGGAATGTGAAACTTGAAGAAGTTGCTCATCCGGAAAAGAATCACGGATGGCTGCGAATTCGGAAGATTTTTCAATAAGCAAGTGAGAGAGATGATCGGCGACAACATTGTCGATCCCTTTTTTGTCCCGGATTTCAATGTCAAACTCTTGAAGTAAGAGGATCCATCGAATTAAACGGGGTTTTGTCTCTTTTTTTGCTAACAAGTGCCTGAGAGCGGCATGATCCGAGAAGACGATGACCTTGGAACCTAGGAGATAGGAACGAAATTTATCCAAGACATACACCACAGCTAGCAATTCTTTTTCAGTGGTGGTGTAGTTCAATTGGGCATCGCATAGAGTCTTGCTAGCATAAAAAATGACATGTGGAAGTTTATCCACACGTTGGCCCAAAACCGCACCTAATGCATAATCGGATGCATTACACATGATCTCAAAGGGAAGAGACCAATTAGGCGGTTTCATGATTGGGGCGGATGAGAGAAGAGTGCGAAGTTTAATGAAAGCTTCCATGCAAGCGTCATCAAAATTGAACGGAACATCCTTGGCTAAGAGATTACATAAGGGCCGTGAGATTTTGCTAAAATCTTTGATGAAGCGACGATAGAATCCGGCATGGCCAAGAAAAGAACGGATTTGACGGACGGAATTCAGAGGAGGAAGATTAGAGATCAACTCAACTTTTGCCTTGTCTATCTTGATTCCCCGTTTAGAAATGAC